GAAACTCAATGTGCATCCAATTAATAAAAAATAATTAACAAACTCATTTCTTAATTACTAAACCACTCTCGCATCANAGCTGATTGAAAAATCATTCTCTTGAAACTCAATGTGCATCCAATTAATAAAAAATAATTAACAAACTCATTTCTTAATTACTAAACCACTCTCGCATCACTGCTCTCGTCCGAGACTCGATCCGAGACTGGTTTCCGCAATGTTCAAGGGACCGAGAAATTCCGTCAGAAATTCTAAATTTAGTTGAATTTCTTAAAAATTTCAAAAAGCTCGAAGAATTTTCTAGAAATTTCTTGAATTCCTCCAAAAATTAGACAAACCTGCATAGTGCCTTGGAATTCTCCAGAAGTCTCTTCGATTCCTCCGAAACTTTTAAGAAAAATTTTTAAGAAAATTTTCAAGAAAAATTGTAATGCTAGCACTGGAAAAGAGGGGCAAAGTGGCAGCCAGGAAAAAATTCCAGTGCTAGCACTGGAAATTTGATTGATATTCCTGCGAATTTTTCGTGTACTTAGGTGAAATTTTCACAGGAACACCGATAAAATGTCCATTGCCAGCACTAGGATTTTTCCCTGTCCGTCACTTTAACCCTCTTTTCCAGTACTAGTACTAGAATTTCTCTTGGAAATTTCTCTCCGTATAGAAATTCTTGAATTGTTTCGAAATTTCTGGAAGTTTTGAGAATTCTCTATTTGCTAGTGTTTGCTTCAATTCCCTCGGAATTCATGGAAATCTGGAAATTTTCAAAATTTCTTCAGAATTTTCATAAACGGAAGCAATTCTTTCAAAAATTCTAGGTTTATGGAATTCCTTCTAAAGTTCTAGATGCTTGAAAAATTTTTTCAATATTTCTAGAATTATTTCTAATATTCGTCTTCTGAAAGTTTCTAGAAACTCGCAAGATTTCTTCTGAAATTAGAAATTTCTTCAATTTCTTGGAAATTTTGAGAAGCTTCGACAATTTTCTCGAAGTTTCTTCGATTTCTCCACAATTTTTAGAAATCTTCAAATTGTTCAGAAATTTCTGGAAATTGTGAGAATTACTTTTTTCTATTGTGTTCTTCAATTCAGTCGGAATTCTTAGAAATTTGAACGATTATTTTGCAATTTCTAGAAATGTCTCTAATTTATCCAGTAAATTATTCTCACCGATAAAAACAATTATTCACACACAAAAATATTTTGTTGTAATTGAAGGGCTCATGAAACCAGAAAAAATCCAAGGTTGCAATATAGTCTCGGAATTTCAGAGGTATAAATAAATTCAAGGATGACAAAATTCAACTTTATTGAATATTTTGAATATTGTTAATTTTTCATTGAATATCTCGGAAACTTTGGAGAATAGCAAAATTTTTGTTAAGACCATTTTTATAGAGTAAATAAAGATCTACAAAAAAGTTTATAATGAAAAATTTTTTCAATATTTCTAGAATTATTTCTAATATTCGTCTTCTGAAAGTTTCTAGAAACTCGCAAGATTTCTTCTGAAATTAGAAATTTCTTCAATTTCTTGGAAATTTTGAGAAGCTTCGACAATTTTCTCGAAGTTTCTTCGATTTCTCCACAATTTTTAGAAATCTTCAAATTGTTCAGAAATTTCTGGAAATTGTGAGAATTACTTTTTTCTATTGTGTTCTTCAATTCAGTCGGAATTCTTAGAAATTTGAACGCTTATTTTGCAATTTCTAGAAATGTCTCTAATTTATCCAGTAAATTATTCTCACCGATAGAAAATAATTATTCACACACAAAAATTTTTGTTGTAATTGAAGGGCTCATGAAACCAGAAAAAATCCAAGGTTGCAATATAGTCTCGGAATTTCAGAGGTATAAATAAATTCAAGGATGACAAAATTCAACATTATTGAATATTTTGAATATTGTTAATTTTTCATTGAATATCTCGGAAACTTTGGAGAATAGCAGAATTTTTGTTAAGACCATTTTTATAGAGTAAATAAAGATCTACAAAAAAGTTCATAATGAAAATTTGGCTACCACCCACAGATTCGCAGATATTCATCAAAAACCCAGCTGAGGGCTATTGCGTTGAGCGCAGCAGGAGGTTTGAATAAGTTGCGCATGGCGCCAATCACGTGACTCATGGCACTGGCGCAGGGACGGGAACAGCTGACGCGTTGCGCCGACTGCTCCGAAATTGCTATTATAATTTATAATAAATTAACGGTACATTTTGGGCTATAAGTTCCTAACTCCCCCCGATAGGAAATTTTCTCAGCTACAAAGAAATATTTTTTTTTCCCATCTGGTGAGATTAACCAATTCCCAATTGTTTATAACAAATCGTGAATCACCCGGGTAAATTTGAGCATATACTTTTTAAAACATTAATAATTACACTTTTAGCTATCGATTGGTGTAATTTGGTGCCCTTTGGTTAATTTCGATATACAAAATCTAATTTGACTGGACTAACAGTCATCTCTTGTGAGACTCTTGCTCGACAATAAAACCGTGAAGTTTAGCGTGTCACAAATTTTGCCCCCGCCCCCCCTCCCCGTCCGGGAATCGAACCCGGGTCGTTTGCATGCCAATCCCACACGCTAACTACACAACCACTGCCGTCGGTGAAAATTCAATAGATAATTATTTTAATGGATTTTCATAAATACGACGAATGTGATAATTGAGAGAAAAAAACAGTATTCTTAAAACGAAAATTCCATTCGGAAGCTAATTGATAATTTATTAGCAACAACAACTACATGCATTCCAATGAAATGCAATTATCAACTTGTTTAGTTTTATTTTGATTTTTCATATCTTTACTATATCTTTCAATTTTCTTCCTCTAGATTGTGTGTTCTTTCACCCTTGATAGGATCAATGAGTTGTCGATCTATCGGTAATTGTAAGTTTGTGTTGAACACAAACAAATTTCGAATTTTATTTTTAGTTCCAGTTCTCATTGAGGAGTAATTTTCCCAGGGGTTTTTCCACAACCTTTTGATCTTTGAAGATGAATTCTCCAGCTAGAATCGTGGCATGAACTTTTCCGAATAAGTCTCGATCTTCGTACGGGCTGATCTTATTCTTGTAAAGGATGTCGGTGGTTTTCACCTGAAAAATGAAATTGTCTCGATAAAATTTGGTTATTAATGGGGGGAATGGGATGAGTTGAAAATTTTCATATTGATTATTTAGAAGAAATTCTTCGAAGGGAGAGGATTCAGTTACTTCTCAAGGAAGATATTTTTAAAAGCAATTTTGTGGATTACTTTGAAAATCGTTGACATTCCCTCTGCGGTAACTAATATGAAATATAATTTATTATTGAGGAACATAATTAATTGAATCAGAAGCCAGCTCCAATTGTTCGCATCAATAAAAAGCTGCCTCTAATATCAATTTGTTGATTTCATTCCAACTGTCTTATGTCAGTCATGTTGAAGCATGTGCACGGAAACAATATAAAATTATTTTTGACTATGTGAACATAGTAATTGTGCACTATACCCGCCACTCTCAAAATTTACTATTGAACACAGTAAAAATTGCGAGTCGGTATGGTACACCGAGAGAAAAACAAACATGTTCTCAAACAAGTCTTGTTTGGGCCAACAAAATCACTAGTTGAAAATTGCCAAAAAAAAATTTGTTTGGTTCGAATTTGAAAGTCTCAAACATGGATAATTGTTCTGCTTTTGACAGCAATGAAATATTTGGTTGAAGAGGCGAATAATTCGCACTAGACGATGCCTTTTCAGGATGAAAATATCTCGTATGGAAGAAAATTTATCAACAAATATTTTGTCCCTAAGTTACAAGATTATTATCATATCATTTTTATTGTTTCATTTAAGGGTTTATTTCTTGTCTGTGATTATTAGACAGCTGAAACGAAAAACTACTATCCCTTGTTTCGCATAAAACAAATATTTTTCGGGAGCAAAATACATATGGGAGTATTGAATAATGAAGTTCTTCCCCTCGCCCCAATTGGGACCCTTCCATCTCCTACGCAGCCACAGTGTACGCAAGTGCAATTGAATCCTCGCTCAGCTCAATCTCCCTACCTCTCTGTCATTCTCCCGATCAGCTCAACTTTTTTTTGCATAATTTAATATTGGATGCTACCACTCAATCAGGATTTACGCAGCCTCTCTTTAATCCTCCCACTCGTCAATCCAAAATGTTGCCCCACTGGGCTAAAGATCCAGAAGTTCGTCGTAAGAAGTCTGAAGTAACTAAGCTTAGCAAGATTTTTAAGAGAAATAGGCACTGTGATATTAGTCGTCTTTCTGTCCATGAAGCTCGTAAGGAATACAAATCCCTTGTGAAGTACAAAAAGAAATTGTTCAAGAATCAACTCACTATTGCGCTGAATAATTCAAGAGATTCTAAAAATTTCTGGGCCACTATTAAAAATATTAATCCACGAAACTTTGTATCATGTGCAGTGTCAATTGATAATTGGAATCAATTTTATATGAATATTTACCCACATAGAGATTTTCCCCTTTTTATACCCACGTTGAATTCCGTCCCTCAACTTGAAAAATTAATCTCATTAGATAAACTTAAGTCAATTCTTATTAAACTGAAAACTAATGAAGCAACTGGGCCTGACCAAATTGTAAATGAATTCTATATAGCTCCACCTCCCAGCGGCCAAAAAGTATTACTAGAATTGTTTAACTCTGTTATTGAAATTGAAATTTGTCCTGACTCTTGGGCGAATGTCCTTTTGTCTATGATTTATAAGAAAGGTGATCACTCTGATCCCTTAAATTATCGAGGTATAGCGCTTGTGAATCACATAATAAAGATTTTTACTTATATTTTGAAAGAAAGGCTTGAAAAATGGGTTGAACAAAATAAGTTACTTCCTCACTCCCAGTTTGGCTTTCGAGCCGGTCGTGGGTGCACCGAAGCGATTTTCACATTACTATCCTCTGTCCAACTTCAACTTCATCTCCCTAAGAGAGAAGTCTATGCCATTTTTGTAGATTTTCGTAGAGCCTTCGATTCGGTCCCCCATGACCGTCTCTGGGCCAAGCTGAATGACTTGAAAATAAGCTCTAAATGGATTAGAATTGTGAAATCTCTCTACGACAAAGCAAACATTCAAATTAAATCAAACCAACTTTCCCATAATTTTGAAGTAACTGAAGGTGTTTTGCAAGGGGAAACCTTGAGTGCTCTTTTATTCATTTTGTATATTTCGGACTTTGAATCTTTCTTCCGTGCTAGAAACATTCCTGGTCTCAATATTGATGGTCTGACAGATGTCTTAATGTTATTATATGCAGATAATACTGCCATTTTAATTGACTCTCACATTAACGTAGAAAGAGCCCTCAAGGCCCTCGCGGATTACTGTGATTTAAATAGTTTAGCGGTTAATGTTTCTAAGACTAAAATTATGGTTTTTAAAAAATCTGGCAGAACCAAGAAATTTCCAGCTAGATTTAAGATGTACGAAGGAGAAGGATTGGAGGTTGTAAAAATGTATCTTTATCTAGGTACACCGTTATCTCGTAATGCGCGCGGCAATGATGCTGCTCAAAAAGCTATTGTTAAAGCCAAACTGGCATCTTGTGCTGCTTTGAAGGGACTCTCTAGCCTTGGAGTCAGCTCCTGGGCCACCTTTGCCACTTTGTACAATGCAATGGTACAGTCAACTTTGCTTTATGCTGTCCCTTCTTGGGGTCTCATGCACAATGAAGATCTTGAGAAGGTTCAACTTGGATTCTTTAAAAAAGTGTTAAATCTCCCAAGTTGTACCCCGGGGTGGGCTCTTAGGCTGGAATGTAATATCACTCATATTAAATATCGTGTTATGAAGTTATCATGGGACTGGTTTTTGAAAATGCTGAAACAGCCCAACACTTTTCTTCCCAAAGTTTGTCTTGTCCGATTCATATCACTCTGCAATAATAATAATTTTTCTGATGACACGTACAATTGGGCCGTGCACTTGAAGAATTTTCTGATCTACACGGGGTTTGATTACCTCTGGGATAATCTAGAAGTTTCCATTTTAACGGCCAAAACTGTCGAGATTTTTAACAAATATAATCAAATTCTCAAAGATTATGATGTTGGAAGGTGGGCTGCCTCCTTGTCTTGTCAGCTCACTCCCCCTTTTGTACCTGAGAGTTTAGGTTGGAATTCCTTATACTTATTAGAAGACCATGATATGTTAATTAAGCGTAGATTAGCCCAATTACGTCTTGCAAATAATTTTATCTGTCACTTTTATATAAACAATGCAAAAGTAGTTTTTAAGCCTGATAAATTATGCACCTACTGTGAATCTATTGCGCCAGACTCAATTGAACACTTTTGTCTATACTGTACNCCCCTCCCCCCCCCTCTGCAATGGGGCAATGTATCCTTTAAGCAGATAAATAAAATTTGAATTTGAAAAATAATGAAGGAGCAGGACTAGATATGACATTTCTTGAGTGACTTTGGTACCCATTTTTGTTGAACTACTAAATCTATTTTTACGACAAAAATTTTTCATTCCGGCGCAATCTCTGCATGTTTGGCACAAAATAACCCATTTTGATAATTTAAAAAAAAAACTATTTTCTTGGCACAAGTAAGACTTTTTTGAGAACTTTGTCGATTTTCTCTCAGTGTAGAAAGTGGTAGAGTAACAGTTGAATTTAATTTGACACGAGTAAAAATTCGGATAAGATGAATCAAATTTTAAAGGTGTTTCGGTATAGTCCAGGACTACTATCTTCACATTGTAATTTTTTATTTCATATTCTCTCCGTGTGCGCTGCCTCGCGGCCCATTTAACATCGCAAATAGAGTTCTATTATGCACTAAAAAATTTATGTGAGGACAGGTTTATTTGATTATTAACATGGAAATTAATAGTTAATGAAAATCAACACCTTGCTGAAATTTGTGAGACATCACAAAGTTGTCACATGACAGATGCAAGTATAATATGACAATGTGGTCACTTGATCAACTTGTAACCGAGATTATAACGGTATCACTCTAGAACCGTCATATTCCAATTGAATATATATGGCTTACTGCGAAATTTGTGACACATGACCAAACTATCGACTGACTATCACATGCAATTTAAGTTAGCCACGTGCGACTTACGTCCTATGGGGATACATATTCCATCTATATAGCGGAAACACTAAAATTTTTTTTATTCCTACCAATTCCATTGGTAGTAAGCTTCCGAATGGATTCGAAGCAATTCCCGTACGGAAAATTATATATGTGGAACATATATAAATAAATGTATCACGGATATATGCCACATATATTCAGCATATAGATGCATATATGTCACATATATCTTACATATATGTGTAATAGAGCATTTTTGGCCGAATTACATATATGGAAAATTGTATGTATTATATATACTGCAATTATGCGATTATATATGCAATATATGTGATCATATAATCGATATATGTGATATATATGCGTTATATGTGGACGTCCGCATGAAAAGGGACCACTTTGGCACTATTGGACTTATTCATATGGGCGTATTCCTGGTTAAATTTGGAATATTTTGAGAGGTCACACGTCTCGCTAGATGAAAAAACCGCAAAGTTATAGAGCTCCAAAGTTGGAAATGGGAAAAACATAGTTTTGAGAAAAACGAGATCAAAGTTCGAGGTACTATTATTATTAGTTCTACTCGGAAGTTAAACAGATGATGGTTTGAATACATAAAACATACCTTTGGAAACACAAACCACCGTGTATTAAGTTTAATTTATCTCTTATTCATGAAATAAAGAAGATCCGACAAAGCTTTTCTCTAAAATTGGATTTTCAATAAATTAATCGGATTTAAAAAAAAACATGACTGTGTCGAATTCTTTGACTAAAAAAAAACGTAGACTGCGTTTGAAATCATTTATTGTCCCTTCTTTCAGGAATTATACTGTTTTATTGTCGTTGACAACAAAAATAAAACTGTTTTATTGTGACTGTCATGATTGTTTTCGCACAATAATAGGTATGGTTTTGTACCTTCAAAATTTTCATTTTTTTGAGGCTTCTCCCATAGTTTTACTATCATCAAAAAGACCTAAAAAATTTTAATTCAATTTTTTTTC